TTTTTTTTTCAGCTTTGAGTGTTTGATGGTGCCAAATGAGAGTACTTGTGAGAGGGAATATATTCATAAGACCTGCATCGTTCGACAGATTCAGCAATCATGGGAACATCCACGATGTGTAAAATAAGCTGTAGAACAGTGTTTGCTTTAGTTCATCGTGCTGTATGCATTCTGCTGACTCTGTTGTGTCTCCATGTCTCACAGGTCAAGCAGATCATGGAGGAAGCAGTCACAAGGAAGTTTGTTCATGAAGACAGCAGCCATATTGTCTCATTCTGTGGTAAGTCATTGAACATACAAATGTTTAGCTGAAATGTGCTGGTAGAAAGGTTTTACATTTGTTTCTAACCCCGAGCACCTTCTCATGCTTTATTTTGGTTTTTGATCAAAGTGCTTTTTCATTTTACAAACATTGCAAAATTACCTTGTGCAGCTCAAGAGTTATCGTTTTTTTCCCCACTACCTTTGTACACATAATAAAAAGGTCTAAACGATACACAATAGATTTTATTTTTAAAAATTCCTTGAAAAGGTTTTGTTTATTTTATACTGTGTAAAATTATAGCTATGTTTAAGTGTAATTGGATTAAAATTCATCACAAATATTTGCACTTTGGGTTGACAGTGCTTAGCAAAACTACACTTTAGTTAATAGTTCTTGGTTATGTTACTTGGTATCAAATGACTTGGTATCAAATGAAATAAAATTTTTAAGAGAAGTAAAAACTTGTCTGTAAAGTCTTTTATGCTCACCAAGGCATTCATTTGATCAAAAATATAGTAAAAGCAGTAGTATTTAGAAATATTATTACAATACAAAACAATTGTTTTCTATTTTAATATATTTTAAAATGTGATTTATTTTTGTGATGGCAAAGAATTTCCATCTATTTGCTCTCAATTTCTCATGCATTTAATTATTTCAAGAACAAACAATTGAAATATTAAAAATACCTCTTTTTTCTTTTCCATGGGAGGCTCTGGGGATCTGTGTTTCAGTGCCTGCCAAATGTTGGGCAGCATGATGGTTTGGCTGATTTCCAGGTAGAGCGAACATTCGGCATTTAGCAGGGCTTGGAAAGCATCAAAGCGCGTAAATGTCGAGAAGTGTCATGTTTATTAAGTCTAGATTAACATAGAGTGATAATTTCAACGTATGTGGACCAGTAAATGAATGTGTAATTGATCGTGTTGCAGTAATTGCTGCCCGCTGTTTGTCAGCAGAAAATCTGTCCACGTAATAAAGTAATCACTCAGACGTGCATCTTCTCTGTCGCTGTGCAAATTCACATCAAGGTAGCATGACATGATAATAAAGAATAAATGAGTAGTCATTAATAATCCAGTTTCTGCCAGGTCATATTCAGCATGTTAGGTGAAGGGTTTATAGGCCTGTTCAGCTTTTCTTTTTTTTCTTGGTTTATTCACTTTTACATTTGATATTTTCTAAACAGCTTTTATTACTCCAGGATGCTGGCAACCATACCACCTTCCCTAGAATTTAATCAGCACAGCTCTGTGAGGGGTCAAACGCTGTTGGCAGGTTTGCAATGTGTGTAAATTAGACTCTGCATCCAAGCGATTATTGTTCTCAAAAGTGTCTCGTCGGGGTAGAACAGAATCAACAAAACCTTGCAGTTCGAGCTCACAGAAACAGCTAGTGGAGATTATTTCTTTAGCCACGCTGTGGTGTTTCTGAATAACACCAATCAAAGTAGCTTGAAAAAGAGCTTTTGATGAATGGCCTTGTTAACTCATTTTATTATGTTCCTGCAGTGGCAGTGGGATTCGGTAGATGATTATAGGGCCTGTGTGCATTGCTGGTTTCTGGTTTCAGTCGGTTGTTTACTCTCCTGTAATTCATTGAGCTCTGATTCATCGTGACTCTCCTCTGCCCTGCTCTGTCTCTATCTCAAGTCCTCTCAACTGTCTCCTGCCACATCGCTGAACCTCTGCTGGCTGAAATACAAGAGTTCGTAGAAGAGGCAACTATAGGAAAAAAATCCCCAGATGAGATCTTTTTAATATTTCATCAGCAGTGAGATTAAATGGATAGCCTTTTGCTGAAGTCTCAGATGTTTCTCCTAAAAAAGACTCCAGTGGTCTCACATACATCTCTAGAGTTTCATATTTTAATGAGGTATGAGGTATAATGAGGTATTTTCTGTTTTCATTTTTAGTCATGTATTTTGTTGCTTTTGTCTTTTTTTAAAGTGTTGTTTTTATTACATTTTTGTTTTTAGTTTTAGTTATTTATTACTTTAACCTAAACTAAACAAAAATGATGAATGTTGTCTTGGCAATAGCTGGAATAAGATTTCAGAACACAATTTTTTTTTTCAGTTATTTCTTTTATTTCAAATAATAAAAAATGTTTTTTTTTATGGTTTTGGTTTTGTTTAACAATAATAAAGCTGGCCCAGATGTGCCAAGGTACCAAAGTATGCAAGATTTCAAAATAAACATATCTCAAAGATTCTCAGAAATTCCTCTAATTCAAAACCCATACTTCTTGTGTGTCAATGGTTGTCTCATTTGTGTCTTTCATTTCTCTTAAGGAATCTGAGACAAATGTGATGATTCACACGAAAATGTATTTAAATTCTATTATCTTCTCTCCCTCATTGTTCCAAATCGTTATGCTCATAGTCATTCAGTCAGCTGGGTCCAATGTTGGTTTGGATCCCCCTGATTTTCATTGTATGAACAAAAACGGCTATTTAAAATATCCATTATTTAAAGAAATTGTATTGCACAGGAGAAAGAAAGGGTTACAACAGCATAGTGCTGGGCGGTATACCGGTTCATACCGAATACCGGTGTTTATTTTTGTTATGATATGAATTTTTAAAATACTGCAATTCCGGTTTACGTCGCTTAAACAACGAATTTTGAAAAATACCGTGATATCAATTTTTGGTCATACCGCCCAGCACTACAACAGCATGAGGGTGAGTAAATGATGAAAGAATCATCATGAACTCTTGAACCAAGAAAGAGCAACCTCTGAGCAATAGCATTTTCCTCTGGGCACTTTTCAATAGAATCAAGACAAAAGCAAGGATACTGGAAGAGAAAAGAAAGAACACTTAATCATTATGCCATAATGGATGAATTGCATTAGGAGTGTGTATGTTTACACTGTAATGGTTTAATATTGCTGCTTCTTCTAGTGAAGCACTGGCAGATAATAGGAGATGAATGGAGGGTAGCCAGACCCTGCTGTAATTAACCATCGTGATTATAGCGATGTTTACACACCACAGATGGAAATGTCAACACTGACATTTCTCATCATTGCAGATATGGGACACGATTATCAACTGTGTGCAGTTCTGTGGGGTTTTAAGACATCTCTTAATTTTGTCTCTAATCTACGTGTGGCTTTGAAAGCATGTTGTTCGTCACTCTCGGACGCTTTTACGTCATTATGTTGCAGAGTAAAGTGCTGGTCAGTGGGAGTGGAAGGGATCGTATATATCCAGGTTTCATTTCGTTCGCACTGTGACAGTGTGATTAGAAACCATTAAGGTTGGTGGTATGATTACATTTTTAATGAGCATTTGAGATCAGGGTCGGGGGTGGCCGCCTGCTCCCTGTGCCATTTCCTGAGACCCAATGAGTCGTGGGGCTTGTTTGTTGCTCTGGATATTGCTTTGGAAACGTATTTGGCTGGAATATAATTTTCTTCCTCATGCGGTCTCTCTGTCTCTGCATGTTCATTTTCATTTTACTTTGGGATAAAGCTGCTTTCATTTTCCTTGCATACTGATTTGTCATTTCATTCTCACAGTAAAATGACTGAATTGAGAATCAGTTGGAATAAAAATAATTGAGGCCTACTTTGCATCCAGGCCATCATGCATCTAAAGTGAGCTGTAGTCACAGAGCATAAGCATAAAGGAAAGTTCAGCTAGGGCTGAGAAATATGTCAAAAAAAAATAATCTTTCAAGTTTAAAGGCAGATTTCCCCTCCCGAGTGAAAGATGTATAAAGCAGATATTTAATTGTGGTTGTTTTTGTTTTTTTGGTCAGAACATGACAAACACTTGCCAAACAGGTGAACATTTCAGAAATCTGGGGTACAAGAAGAAGCCTTTTCAGTCTGTTTTCCTTAACAAAATATCTTAGAGAAAAGAATTTCTTAGTTTCTGCATGTTCTAATGGGTGATAATGTTTCAAAACTTTACTTTGATAGCACGATGCAGATGTAAATGTTAGTTTCTTTAACAAAAACAGTAACATCTGTAAAAGCTGAAACAACCTGTAGTGTAAAATCTATGGGTAAAATTTAAATGTAACTGTTTGAGTTAGGACTCTATTTTTATTAAAATTAACCAAACAATCATTGATTGTATCACACAATTAGATAATGATAAACAGGTAAAACCATGTATAGCATTTAGTATTAATACATATGCACAAATGCTGTAGCTTATTTAACTATTACTTCTTAAAGGGTTAGTTCACCCCAAAATGAAAATTAGGCTGCGTTTTACTCACCCCCGATGCATCCTAGGTGCATATGACTTTCTTCTTTCAGATGAGTCCAGTCGGAGTTATATTAAAAATTGTCTTTGATCTTTCAAGCTCTATTGTTGCACTCAGCGGGTGTTGCATTGCTTCTGTCCAAAAGACGTGAAATAAAAAGCACCTTTCCATAAAAAAAAGTGTCTCACACGGCTCCGGGGGGTGAACAAAGGCCTCCTGTAGCGAATCGATGCGTTTTTGTAAGAAAAATATCCATATTCAAAACGTAATAATCACTTGAATCTAGCTTGCGCTCACTGTTGTAAACAGAAGCAGTTCCAGGGGAATGACGTATGAGGTCAGCTTTGCGCATGCGCTGCTCAGAAGTGACGCACGCGGAGAGATCGAAACAAAACAACGGTCACTAATTAGAAGTACAAAACGAGGATTTGTAAAGAAGAATGTCAGAGGATTTCGATATAAGCCAAGAGGAGACTGGTTTTCCTTTGCTAAAGTAAGGAAACTTTGCTTCTTTTGATTCTGTAAACAAACGTTGGTTTTCACGAGACTCACCAGCGCATGTGCAACGCTGACCTCAGAGGTCATCCGCCCGGAACTGCTTCTGTGTACAACTGCTGGAAAAATATATTGTGATGTTAATCGTTATCGTTTTATTGCCCAGCCCGAAGTTTGGCCAAAAATTACAATTCTGTCATCACTTACTTGTACTTGTCTTTTCAACCCCTATTTTCTTTCTTTCTTTCTTTCTTTCCCTGTTTCTAGGTTGCACTTTTTGAAAGTAGCCTGCACTACTCTCCTGAAGCTGTACAATAGCTTTAAAAGAGGAACTGACTCTAAAAGACTCTCGCTGAAGAGCTCCCCTATATGCTTCATTTTTAAATGCAATTATTATTTACACTTGAATTTGCAATGGGGTCATTAAGTTTCCACAAAAATATTAAGCAGCACAACTGTTTTCAACATTGATTTTAGTAAGAAATGTTTCTTAAGCACCAAATCAGCATATTAGAATGATTTCTGAAGGATCATGTGGCACTGTAGACTGGAGTAATGATGCTGAAAATTCAGCTTTGATCACAGAAAATGACATTTTAAAATATACTGGAAAACATTATTTCAAATTGTGCTAATATTTCCCAATATTACTGCATTTTCATTCAACGTGCAATCCATAACATTCATTATATGAAAACCCGTGATATTAAATGCAAATCATCATTATAACCGGTACATCATGTCTTGAGACATCTTGTAAAGGTGCCCAAGAGATTTGAAGGGACAATTTTCAGTGAATAACGACTTTGAATTTGTTTGTTTCATAAGCAAAGCTATTGTATTGTCACTTTAATTAAGCATTTTGTCCTTTTTGATAAATTGAGGCTTCTGTAAACAACTTCTTTTAGTAGAAACAGTCATAATAAGAGTTCTGAATGACATGATGGTGAGTTAAAAGAAGATTCTGTTATTGTAAATGAACTAAAGATCCTCTCATTAGTTAGTGTGTCTTTAGAAACATGTTAAAGACCTTTTGAACCTGTTTGATGGTCTGTGCGTCCACTGCTCATTCATTTCACCCGCTTATTTTTATCTGTGTTCTCTCTTCGGCATGAATCCATTTAGGCTGGTCAAAGAGGAGCGATGAATACAGCATCAGATGAAAGCGGCTGCTGTGTTTGTATGGATGTGCATCTCTCTGAATTGTTAAGAGATTTTAACCTGAGCTGTAGACTGGTTTATCTCTCGGGCATTTCAGTCTGACTTGGACACGAATAATGGACCAGAGGAGGAGATAAACAAGTGACACTCTGATGCTAGAGATTATAAACACAGCAGAGGAGAGGAGAGGAAGTGCCATAAAGTGCTGGAGTCAGATGAGAGAGACTAAATATCGAGACTATCACAAAGAACAGCTATAAAAGAGAACAAAAGTGACACACTGGACAGGTGAAACAACAGAAAAGGACAGGATGAGGAAAGAGGCAGAGAGATAAAACAGCTGATGTTGTTCCAGAGCCCTGCCCAGCTCTCAATGAGCACAAGTGCTCCATCAGTGAGGGTTTCCATGGCTACGCAGGCTTTCCCCCGACCCCATCCTAGCAGATTCACAAGATTAGTCCTGAGAGAGCTTCAGTATCAGCTCTGCAGGCACTGCCACGTAGTGCATTGTGTCTCAGTCCACGACGTATTTGTGTTCCATCTGACTGTCTTTGGGTGTTTTAGTTTGATTACATATTTGCATTACATTTAGTCATTTAGCAGATGCTTTTATCCAAAGCAACTTACAAATGAGGACAATAAGCAATCAAAACCAACAAAAGAGCAATAATATGTAAGTGCTGTGTCGAGTCTCGGTTAGTCTAATGCACAGTACATGTAGCAAGGATTTTTTTATAATAAATAAAAAGAAAACTTGTAGAATAGAATAGAAATAGAAAGTGCAAGTGTTAGAGGGTTAAGTTTTTTTTAAATAAAAATAAAACAAGTCAAAAGAATAGAGAATGCTAGTGTTAGAGGGTCATTTTTTACAATAAATAAAAAGAAAACAAGTAGATAGAATAAAAAAAAAGTAGAGAATGCTAGTGTCGGGCTTTTTAAAACGAAAACAAGCAGTTCGAATAGAAATAGAATAGAGAGTGCAAGTGTTAGAGGGTCAAGTTGTTTGTAAATAATAAAGAAAACAAATAGATAAAATAGAATTAGAATAGAGAGTCAAATTGACGTTTTCAATTATGTATTAAAGTGTTTTCTAGATTTTTAGAATTCTAGATGTTTAGATTTCGACTGGTCAGTTGCGGTATTCTCCATTTAAGTGTATTTGTATAATTACAGCTTAACTGTATAATTGACACTTCATGTACAATTTTCATGCATAGCTCTTCACATAATGAAATAATTGATGCTTAGATTAATATATCTTTTCTGTTAGTTTATGTGTTCAAAACTAGACAAATACAAGAGTTATAATGTACAATCAGCCGGTCTTTATCACAAAAAAAACCAGTTTAGGGTCCTACAGGAACCCTCCATTTCACATCTGGGTCTCAGGGATTGTTTTGCAGTAATGGCCAGCTGACTGTACATTATCCCCTACTAATAATACAGTATGCTTGAATATGTACACTATCTGTTTAGTTAAAAAGTTTAGTTAAAGATTTTTTTTAAGTTTATGAAAGCAGTCTCATATGCTCACCAAAGCTGAATTTTTTTAGTCAAAAATATATATATTGAAATATATTTTGCAATATAAAAATATATGTTTTATTTTAATAATTTTTTTTAATGTAATTTATTCCTGTGATGGCAAAGATGCAAAGATTTCCTCAGCCATTGCTTCGATCTTCAGTGTCCCATGATTTTTTTAGAAATCATTGTAATATGTTGATTTAGTGCTCAAGAAATATTTTTTATTATTATCATTGGAAATGTACTGCTTAATATTTCTGTGCAAATCATGATGCATTTTTTTTATTATTTCTCAGAATTCTTTGATGAATAGAAAGTTCAAAAGAACAGCATTTATTTGAAATAGGACCTTTTTGTAACATTATAAATGTTTTCACTGTCACTTTTGATGCATTTAGTACGTCCTTGGCTGAGCATAAGTATTAATTCCTTAAAAGAAATCTACTGACCTCAAACATTTTTAACAGTAGTGTAATTTCTGGATGAGTACATGAAAGTGTTTATTCCCACATTTTCACAGCACTGTTTTCACTATTTTGCAATCATGTCACTATTTTTGTTTCTCTGATACACAAAAAGCCTTTCATGGACTGGCGTAACATGCTCTTTCTTCTTTATGGAAAATGGTCCATTTATGTCCTATTGTCCATTTTGTCTGTGTGTAAATGTATGTGTGTGTAGCTGCTGTTGAAGCCTGTGTGCTTCATGGGTTAAAGCGGAGAGCTGCTGGTTTCCTACGAAGCAACAAGATAGCTGCGCTCTTCACCAAAGTGGGCAAAAGCTTCCCTCCAGCTGAAGAGCTGTGCAGAAAAGCCCAGGAGCTGGAACTGGTCTTTGAAAGCAAGTGAGAACAGACTTTGTGATCTCCTCCAATACAACATACAACTCAGACTTGTTTAAAAATACAATAAAGCAATAGAACAAACCTGCAATGTGTTTGCTTTCTGCAGCTTATAAATACCACCAACATACAGTATGTCCACAGGCAAAATGCCAGTAAATACTATTCCTGGAAAGAGTAATATGCTCAGTGGTACCACCCAGTGGACAAACGTTCATTTAAACGCATAAGTATCTACATGGGAATTGATTTTGACAGTTTAAAAATGTTTTATTGACCTTTTGTTCTTCACTTCAGACGAAGTCAGTCTCTCTCATACAGCGAAAGCAGCCGTAAGATGCCCAAAGTCCCAAACTTCTCACCTCAGGCTGTCAGACATGTGTGGATCCACACCGCACTCATTGAGAAAGTGCTAGACAAGATCGTGCTGTACCTGGTGGAAAACAGCAGGTGAGAGAGGTGGGATAGAGATATGAAGAGAAAGCAAGCTTGACCAGTTTCTTTTAGGTGCAATCAAACTTGCCAGCTTGCATTATGTTAAATTAAAGTGACTTTTAATGTTGTTTCAGTAAGTTTTATGAGAAGGAGGCTATCCTAATGGACCCTGTGGACGGCCCTATCCTCGCCTCTTTGTTAGGTAGGCATGCTTTTTAATCATCATTCTCATTCTTAATGCAATCTGGTTACATGCACTGTTTTAAAACCTAGTGAAGTCAGTGATCAGCTAATTATTTCACATGCTCAGTGGAAACATAAAGCTGGTGGACAAGAGAAATATTTTATACTGAAAAGCATAGTATTAGTAAAGAAATATATTACTATATGTGACCCTGGACCACAAAACCAGTCTTAAGTCGCTGGGGTATATTTGTAGCAATAGCCAAAAATACATTGTATGGGTCAAAATGATCGATTTTTCTTTTATGCCAAAAATCATTAGGATATTAAGTAAAGATCATGTTCCATGAAGATATTTTGTAAATTTCCTACCTTAAATATATCAAAACTTAATTTTTGTTTAGTAATATGCATTGCTAAGGACTTCATTTGGACAACTTTAAAGGCGATTTTCTCAGTATTTAGATTTTTTTGCAACCTCAGATTCCAGATTTTCAAATAGTTGTATCTCGGTCAAATATTGTCCTATCCTAACAAAGGAAAGTTACATCAATTGAAAGCTTAGTTATTCAGCTTTCAGATGATGTATAAATCTCAATTTCAAAAAATTTACCCTTATGACTGGTTTTGTGGTCCAGGGTCACATATTATTTGTAAATGATCCACTAGTTAAGTTTATTATTTTACCCAATATTTGTGTTCTACATATTTTTATGCTTATTTGAGTTTCAGGCCATTAACTTAGCAACATGATAACATCAAATTCTATTGAAATCAGTTCAGAGCACTAATTATGTGGAATCATTCACTAATGAAGGGATGCTGCAGCTGCCTATTTAGGGAGGCAGCTCACTAGGTTTTGGACGGAGCTATTTTGTGTCATATTGTGTCTTTTGTATTCCTGGCATTGTGCAGATAATGTGTGTTCAACTTTATTTCTTCTTTAGTGGGCCCCTGTGCATTGGAGTACACTAAAATGAAGACGGCAGATCATTTCTGGACAGATCCTTCAGCTGACGAGTTGGTGCAAAGGCATCGTATTCACAGTGGCCATTGCCGACAAGACTCTCCTACAAAGAGACCTGCCCTCTGTGTGAGTGACCTGTGATTGTATAAACGGGTTTAACACAGTTTTTGTGAGTTGAAATACTTTATCTTATCCCAGTTGAATGTGCAACTGTACGTAAATGTGCAGTTCTGTTTAGTGCTGATATTGCAGAAATTTCATCACAATTATGTGCAGGGTGATATATTGATCTTAGCATTCTGGGTTATGGCACTTTACACAATATTTAAGATGGTACGTTCTTAAAAGAAGGTCAAGAGTAAGAGCTAATTTTATAGATACACTGATATTCTCAGTCTTAGCACAATTGAAAGCTCTTGTGCATTTGAACGAGATGGAAGTGCCATTTCAAACTGTAAGGTTCAGGCCATTTGAAATTCACTTGATGCATTCAACCGTGCCTCAAGGAAATGTCAGGGGTCAAAAGCAGTTTATAGTCAGTCAATTGCATGTCACATTGAAGTCATAATACATAGTGACATAGCCAATAAAGCTTGTTTTTAAGCAAGCTTTCAACATCTTGTGTAAGCTGGTTATCAGGTTTGGATGTTTTCTTATACAACAGACTGCGTAACATAGATATGGCAAAGGCAAAATAAATTACATTTCAATATTTCAGAGCAAGACCTTTTAGTTTGTGTATTTGCTCTTGTTCGGTGAGGTTCTAGCCTTTGAAATCAGTGCAGTTCACTTCATCACAGGCTTCTGAAGAGGGTTGTGGTCCATAAGAGTCATGCTGTGGTCTGTGTGTTTGAGTGTAGTCCATGTTTCTGAGGAGAGTATGAACCTCCACTCAAGAGATATGTTTCACATCATTACCCAGCTCCATTACCAAACGCAGCCGTCAGATTCCTGACTGATCACCCTCTCTGGCCATCGCCAACACCCACACAACAGCAGGACACGCAGCACTTGTTTTTCGTCTCTGATAGATCTGACTGCACTGCACTCCGGGCTTGTTTTCTGATGTATAAAAATCTGCTAGTAAGCTGTAAAAGCCCAGTTTTTGGTGCCGAGAGCCTTTTTGATATATGAAAGAGGAGATGCAAGTATACATCTAGTGACTCACCAGCGGCCACACATTTATCCACCTTGGACAGATCGATGCAGTGGCGTATTGTTAGGAAAACAAGATGAATAGCTCCTATAACACTTTGTTTGCTAGGGTTTATCACTTTAATTGTGTATGTTGTCTGGTTGCATTATTTGCTGATGTAATGTTTTGGTAGAAACATATTAGGTTAGCGATTGCCCTCAGTTCTTAATAATGTGTGCATGTGTGTGTTCAGATTCAGAAAAGACACTCCAGTAGTAGTATGGATGAAAGGCCATCTCCCTCCCCCGCTGCCAGAGACTATGTGGAGTCTCTTCATCAGAATTCCAGAGCGACCCTCCTGTTCGGCAAGAACAACGTACTGGTGCAGCCGGTGAATAATGCATTAAACAGCTGTCAATTATGACAGATCTTTAGGGGGTTATTTCTGACTGCATATTTTATGTAAAGATTAAATTATTGTTTGCTTTATTGTAATTACATAGAAAATATATAATAAAAGTGCAAAAAGCTACTAGCTGAAAACATAGTATGAGCAGCATTTATTATTGACTATAGATTTGTAGTTGCTTCATAACGTGGGCTTCTGTTGTGGTGCTTTCAGAGGGATGATATGGAAGCAATCCCAGGGTACCTCTCTCTACACCAGACGGCTGATTGCATGACTCTGAAATGGACGCCAAATCAGCTAATGAACGGCTCCATGGGCGATCTCGACTATGAGAAGAGGTGGGACTCAGAATAAACAGAATAAAGTGGAAATAGCATTGGTTTGTTCTTTTAATAAAATGTAATGTATGATTGATCTCTTTGAATCGGAGTATCACAGGATATGATAAGATGTAATATATTACAGGATTTCTCGTTCCACCATAATACAGGGATGCAAACTCGACACATTTCAGTGAAGCGTTCCATTCTTAATCTTCCTAAGTAATGAGAACCATTTCTAAATCTGTTGTCAACAAAAGAGAATTAATATTTAAAAATCTTTAAACCTGCAGAAACCTTTCCACCGAAACAAAAGCTCTATGGTTTAAGGTTTAACATTTGAAAGCAAAGTAATGCATTTATTGATTTGTTCAATGTTTATAATATAATATTGTATAATGTTGTTTTATGTATATATTTTTAACTGTATATAGTGACATTTTTCCCTTTATCCTAATACTAAAATCGACTGTAAATTATGGAAGCCCGTTTCCGCCACTGAATAAAAAATAAAAAAAAGGTTATTGCGACTTTTTTTCTCACAATTCAGACTTTTTTTCACAGAATTGTGAGATATAAACTCGCAATTCTGACTTTTTTTCTCAGAATTGCATGATATAAACTCGCAATTGCGAGTTAAAGTCCAATTTTGAGGGGGGGGGGCTGATATGTTCTCAGAATTGCGAGTTTATATCTCACAATTATGACTTTTTAACTCGCAATTGCGAGTTTGTATCAAGCAATTCTGAGAAAAAAAGTCAGAATTGTGAGATAAAAAGTCACAATTACCCTTTTTATTTTTTATTCAGTGGCGGAACCGGGCTTCCATAGTATATGCATATTGTAAAGCTGATATAAAAAATATTCTTCTTTATATATATATTTTTTTTTTTTACCCCTGATGAGTGATTTCTAACTTCATGCAGAAATTGAAACAAAACAAGATTTTTTTCTTTCTTAAATTAAAAACGTTTTGAATCACTGGAATGTAAGTATTTATATTATTTTATGTTGGTTTATATTATTCATAGTTATGTTGGTCACAAGCCACTCAAAGTCTCACCTGTTTTCCTGCAGTGTTTACTGGGACTACGCTATGACAATCCACCTGGAGGAGATTGTGTACTTGCACTGTCATCAGCAGGGTAGGTGACATTGTGCCAGGTTGAAAAACATCCAACTGGCACCCAAATGACACGCATCCTGCAGTTTCTTACTTGTCCATAATTCTGACAGATCAGTTTGAATAATTCACATATAATCCCTATTTTGAGATGCACTATTGAGAATATCCAGACTGGAACAAGGCTATGACTTAAAACACAGTATTGCATTAAACAACCAAATTCAGTCAAGAGCAGTGAGTGATTTTCTGTCTTTTGTTGTTTGATTAACGTTAATGACAGACAGCAGTAGGTTTATTAGGCTGCTGTTTCTTATAGATGGAATGAATAGATCTAATATACTGACACGCACCCGATTTCTTTCCCAATTGTTTATGTTCACTTAAGACATAACTGTCTTTATTTAAATATTCACCAATATGCACAGAACGTGCCTGGTGAACAGTCTCTTTTGCAGAGTTTATTAACTCTTTTTAAAATAAAGCATGTCCCACAGTAGACTGCATTTTACGACACACACATTACATGATTGGACTGATTTGGACGTTAAGTTTTGGAGAGGCGAAAGCGCACCGCGTTAAAGGAATGGAACATCATGTGGCACAAATAGAAACTGAAACTAAAATTTGATTCTTCACATTACTGCTGCTAGCTCACGTTGAGTTGTTTTTTAAACACGTCACCATGCGTGAAAGACACATGATAGAGACACGTGATATAATCTAATAGGCAGTCATTGCTGTAGTTTTAACATTATTACTAGGGCATAAAAGATCACAATCTCTGCGATTCGCTTCAAAAAGTAGATCATACAGTAGATGTCTTCAAGATCGATCACGATATAAAATTGTCAGATTGCCCACCCCTAACATATAATATGACCGTAATGTGATAGCACAAAATTCTCCAACATTCATAGAGACCCTACAGTGTTTCTGAAGGCTAAAAGTTAATCAGTATCTAGTCCCTTTTGGTGAAGTAAATCCACTTGGGTGTACTCAGATATTCAGCCAATATCCTCAGTTGTACTTGCCCTTTTCATATTCATCCGAGCACAAGACCAGCGGACCGATGAGAGAGAGCAGAATTTATCAGAACATAATTGCTTCTGGAGAGAGATGAGAATTTAAAGTGAGGCTTTACTCAGATTATAAAGCAATGTAATTCTGCTAATAATGCCATTGAATGATTCCTTACTGTACAGGCTGTGTCATGGCTTCAATATTAAGAATATCATGATGATTCAGATTTTAGATACAGTTAAGAGAGGAAATGATTTGCATGCTACAGAAGAGTTCACTATGTACAAAACATTCAAGTATTTAACCTAGTAATATGTGATAGCGAGAGACTGTGTCCTTTAAATGTCAATGAACATGTCACATTATTTCATATTAATTCAATTGTGTATGTATTTTTGTCTGCAGTGGATTGTGGGGGAACAGTGGTTCTGGTTAGTCAGGATGGGATTCAAAGGCCACCGCTTCGTTTTCCCCGTGGTGGTCACCTCCTACAGTTCCTCTCCTGTCTGGAAAATGGTCTGCTGCCTCACGGCCAGTTAGACCCGCCGCTTTGGTCCCAGAGAGGAAAGGTAAGAAAGTGATCTGTACAAAATGTAATGTTACTGTACACCTTCTCAGTGTTGGGGGTAACGTATTACAAGTAACGCGAGTTACGTAATCAGATTACTTTTTTTCAAGTAACTAGTAAAGTAACGCATTACTTTTTAATTTACAAGAAAATATCTGAGTTACTTTTTCAAATAAGTAACGCTAGTTACTTTTTTTTCCCATTTATTGATTGAAAGCTCTCCTGTTCCCTTGTTGAGAGAAATCGGGAGTAAGATGTTACTTTAGTTCTAGAATAAATGTGAACATGCATTAATTCATCTCACTCACTCACAAAAAAAAAAAAATCTGATTACATTTGCCAAAAATAGAACTTTTTATATTAAAAGCAAACAAGCAGGCCCAGCCCAGATTTAAAAAGTAACGCAAAAGTAGCGTAATGCATTACTTTCAATAAAAAGTAACTAAGTACCGTAATTAGTTACTTTTTTAGGAAGTAACGCAATATTGTAATGCATTACTTTTAAAAGTAACTTTCCCCGACACTGCACCTTCCTCCAATATACACACTTACTCTAATTTCAGAATATGTAAAGTGTGTACCGACTGACAATTGTTTGTTCTTCCATTAGGATTATAACTTTTCAGCATTTGTGGAACAGTAACATTTTAAGATGCTGAGTGAAAAACATTGCCATTATTTGACCAAGTATTTTTATTAGTATCCTCTGTTTTAGTCTAAGACAACTCTGTTTGATATGACCCTTAAATCACAGTGTTTTTTAAATATTTCTACAATTACTTCATACATTACACTCAGTACAGTACAGGGGGCAGTAAGAGTTGAAAGAAATCAGTACTTTTATTCAGCAAGGATGCCTTAAATTGATCAAAAGACATTTGTTACAAAACATTTCTTTTTCAATTAAATATTTTTTTATTCATCAAAGCATCCATAACGTTTCACGGTTTCCACTTAAATATTAAGTTGCACAACAAGTGTTTTCAACATTCATAACAATAAGAAATGTTTTTGAGTGCCAAATCAGCATGCTAGAATGATTTCTGAAGGATCATGTGACACTGGAGTAATGTCTGCCAAAAATTCAGCTTTGCCATCACAGGAATAAATAACATTTTAAAACCAATAAAAATATTCTAATTATATTTTACAATATTACTTGTTTTACTGTATTTTTAATCAAATAAATGTAGCCTTGGTTGAGTATAAGAGACTTATACTGCTTCACTGTTTGAGCTACAGATTCAAGACGCTACACTGATTTTTACCGTATTATTTAGATCAATTACGATCTCTCACTGTGCTCTTATTTGTATGTCTTGATTGATTAATCTGTCAATTGCAATTCATTTTGTGTGTTACAAATACATTCTAAATGGAAAAAATAATTTGTTCTAGATCATCTGCAGTCATGTATGTCGAACTGATGCTTCACTTTTCTTTTTCCAGGGTAAGGTATTTCCTAAGCTAAAGAAGAGATGTCCACAGGGATCCTCAGACTCTGTCTCAGACAAAGAAGAGGAAGAAGCAACAGATTTTGTCTTCCGTATTGTTTTCCCAAACAGTCAGTCAGAATTTGGTAAGAGACTGAATCATGGTATCAAACAAGCTCTTGAGCCAGTAAATGTTTCCCGATTATGGTACGGTTATTTTAATATCAGCTTTTAGAAGTGGATAATAGCAAAAAGGGCCTCTTGTATCCATCTAGGTATTGTTTGTCATTTTGGTTTTTATCCATTCATATGTCATCTGTCATAAACATTCCTTTGGTTTTACAGAGATGTTTTGACTCATTACAGTGACTTTTACCCAGTCCTCCCGTCTTTCACTGGGTACTGTTTTCCTGGCCCGATCTCTCTCCCTGAACTCGAGAGGGCTGTGGCCTCCTAAACAGCAGACGCTGGTGATGCCAAAGCGCCACTGCAGCTCCCCGGGAGAGTCCCCATCCTCCCCTGAGCTCAGCTGTAATTCTCCCTGTCACCGCTCATTTATGTGTTCATGTATCAGTCTGACGCGCCAACTTCTTGCTGGTTTATGCTTGCTTTTATGGCCTCTACGTCTGCAAGCAATCACTTAGTTGCCAGTGTGAGTTTTCTGTTTTGTTCAGGAGTCCTCCTCCAGTGAAATTTAATGACCCTTGGTTAATTGTGGGCTAATGGTTGAGTGTTTTCCCGGGAGACTTGAAATTTATGTTTACTATATAATAACCATATGTGTTTGTAACAGTAATAGTGGCTTTTAAATCTGACCTGGAATGTGATCCTGTTCATTTTGAGTGTCACGGCAGCCATTATTACTTCATTAAATCCATGCAGACTGATATTATTGCAATATTTTCTTTTTTTTTTTAAAGCTGGGTGTAATAGTGGGTTCTTGTTGCTCTGCTTTTGGCTACATAAGTTCCTTTTTGTATCCAGATGTTCAATGCATAATCAGATTTCTCTGTGTGTGTTTGTCTGTTAGTGGCACCAGAATTGATAGATCAGGGAGCAAACATGTGGCACCCAACACCAAGGAAATCATCTTGCTCTTCCTGCTCACAGAGTAGTTTCTCTGATGGAGCACCGCCCAATGGATGCAATCATGAAAGGTACAATGACAGAATGAAAAATTGTATAGTCCATTTTGATTCATTTAATTAGAATTGAAAAGAAACCTGCAGATAAACAGGAATAAGCTTCTGAGGTACACAGTAGAATTTACATTTAATTTGGGTAGAAATGTAAACTTTATAACAACAACTACTACTACTGCAATGACTATTATTATTATTGTTATTATTATTGTTGTTGTTGTTGTTTGTTTGTTTTTACATTTAAATTCACCCAAAAATCACAATTGGGTATTACTTCATACTCAAGTAACACCTTGTTGTTTATATGTAAAACCTATATGTTCTGTACAAAAGTAAATATACTGTAAATGTATAAATATAAAATAAATCTAAATGAAATAACTGTTAAATATATATTTAAGGGAAAAAAATATTATCTTCTTTTCAGGGCCCCTCTGAAGTTGCTGTGTGACAACATGAAGAACCAAATCATCTCTCGTGCTTTCTATGGATGTTTGTATCCATTACTCATAAATTTATAGTCTCACAACACCATCTTTTTCCATCAAAGGTGACCTTCACATTCTCAGATGTCTCTCTTATTCAATCAATCACACACATATTTTGCCCTCTCAGGGCTGGCGTACTGCCGTCACCTGTCCACGGTACGCACTCACCTGTCTGGCCTTGTCAATCACACTATTGTGGAACCAGATGTGCCCAGTGACGCCTATGGAGGCCTCACGACAGAAGTGTGGCAGAAGTTTCTTCAAGACTGCAGCGTAAGCATGCACACACACACACAAACCTGCCTGGAGTCCAAAACAGACACGTTTAAATGAGCGTCTTCGCCAGACACTCATTATTATTCATTTGTCCCTAATCACAGTTCTCTCAGTTCTATCACATAAATAATATGTTTGGATGACTAATGCTGAGAGCCTGAGTGCCAGAGTGGCGGCACTAAAGGGTGCAAATCAATGTAAAATCTATACAGAAGTACCCTTATGGCTGTGATCGTTAGTGTGCTTATACTGGCTGACTAATTTATGCTCTAAACAGGCAAACCAATGTGTGTGTATATATATATATATATATATATATATATATATTGGTTTGACTGATAAACATAGTAAAATAGTGGGAAAATATAAATGTAAATAAATTGATTCAAATACCATTTGTACCATTTTGTGCTTGGAAGTCAGTTTACCCATTTTGGAGTCGGTGTGTACCTGCTCTTTTGCAGACCTATGAGGAGAAGGAGTTACTGCGACTAGTTTATTTCGGTGGAGTTGAGCCTTCTTTGCGAAAGGAGGTCTGGCCTTTCCTGCTGGGTCATTACCAATTTGGGATGTCTGAGGCTGAGAGAAAAGAGGTTAGTGTATTTTTTGGTTAAAACCATCCTCCCAAACAGTTTTAAGGTACGGTCATGTTTACATTGCTAGGCGAAATTCTACAGGAAAAATCCCTATGCAGATTTCGCAGTGTTTTTCATGCAACAACTTTAAACTGCAAAAAAAATGTGACCATGACTTCAGTCTTTATTCTCTTTAAGATTTCCAGTGATTGCCCTGGAATAGGCAAATATGTCATCCAGTCAGTTGATTTCCTTACCTCTGATAAATGCAACAAGCATTTAGTTTTTTTTAGTCAACTTCTTTCCAAAGCAAGATTAATTGGATTTTAGATGGTTTGTGAATCAAAGCAATTGTTACATTGTTACTGAGTAGATTTCATTGTAAGATGTTGCCGTCTCTTATACTCTGAACTCTGCAGGTGGATGAGCAGATGCGAGCGTGCTATGAGCAGACAATGAGCGAATGGCTGGGGTGTGAGGCCATTGTTAGGCAGAGAGAAAAAGAACAGCATGCTGTGGCGTTAGCCAAGTGTTCGTCTGGGGTGAGTATAGACAGCACCACACAGAGAATAATGCACCGTGACTCAACTGTCAGTTATGAGGTGAGTGTCTCAGAGTGACCTCCTAAGACCAAAATGCATTGTTGGCAGGCACTGAAGACTTCCAGTCCAGACTGAAATGTTTGCTTTTGATTTTATGTAGTATTTACTTAGGGATGTGTTGTGTTTGTCATTCAGTCCTCGCAGAGCTGTAGTTCAGGCAGGCAAAGAGATTCCAGGCTGCAGAGCGACTCCAGCAGCAGTACTCAAGTAAGATTCAGACTGATGTTGTGGCCATTACATGAATATTTGTACAAGTTGACATTTCCTTAAAACATGTGATTACAAATGGTGCCCCCCTTGACCAATGTTCCTCACTCTTTCCTGGTAGTTCTTCACTTCCCAAAACCCCTTCCCCTGGAGTAGCTTTCTTTCGTTTGGTTTGTTTTTCCAGGTGTTTGAGTCCATTGAAGAGGTCGACCAGATCGAGTCCGAGCCCAAGAGTGAAGATGCCAAACAGGTTTCCAAAATCTCAAATGGAACACCGCAAAATGGCACAAGTTCTCCAGACTCCGGTCTACCCTCTTCCAGAAACTTCTCCATTACTTCTGGTCAGTCGGACTCCTTGAGCACAGAGGACAGTGGGATACATGACCCAAGACTTAAAGCTCAATCACAGCTTGCAGTATCAAAGGAGAGGTTTGCGAGTTCATCTGGTGTGGAAGGAAAGGTGACTGAGGAAGGTGAGACCAAATCGATTGAGAAACTAGGTGTGAGAGAATATAGTAGAATTGAGATTAACAAAGTGTTGTCTTTGGGTGCAGTTGTGGCAATATCAGAGAGAAGCAAGAAGGCCACAGAGAGCCTTTCCGATAAAAGGTCAGAGGTCGAGACTGAGGGGTTGAAAATGGCTCGCAGCCACATGACCAAAATGGAAGTGGGCGACTCTCCAGAGAGGACTTTGACATCAGAAAATGAAGCACTGACAGAGCGCACTGAGTCAGAAATTCTCAAAGTGACAGAGGTCGAGGAATCGACTCCTCCAGAGCAGAAGATGAATGAGAATCGGGTAAGTGTGGACACTGAAAGGTCCCACATGGGAATGAAAGATATCAGAGCAATCCAAGAGGAACCTTTGGTTACAAAAGATCATAAGGTATCAGATGCACTTGAGCAGAAGGTTGTAGCTGACATGCTGGTGTCTGTTTCAAAGGACGATGATACAGAGAAAGAAACCAATGAAATAAGCAAAGATAAAGACTGCAAGACATGCGTGGATGACGTCAACGATGTTAGTGGCACACAAAGTGCTTTAAAACCAAGTGATAAGAAAGAGAACAAGACCAGTGATTTACCCAGTGGAGCTGGAACAACAGTAAAGAGGAAAATAACATCAGTTCTCCCAAAAACCATTGGTACAGAGCTAAGAGAAGGGAAGGATGATTCAAAGAGAAGCACACATAAAGAAATGCAGAGGAACGCTCCAGTAATTGAGGAGACAGTGGTCCCATTGGTGCATGAAGCTTTTAGCACAAGAGAGATGGGTGAAGCCCAAGATGCAACTGAGTTAGACGAGTCTCCCTCTGCAATTGAAATGGAAGAGATTCCTACAGCTAAAGTGTCCATGGCTTGGGAAAGGAAGAGTTCACCCAAAAGCAAGGCTAGTGAGCAGGCAGCTGTACCTGTATTGGAGCTCAGGCTGGAGGAAGCTCATGGAAAGCCCAGCTCTGAAGGAATGGACTCTGAGGAGCCAGAGATGGAGAGTCTTTGCCCACAGCTGGATTCACTTGCTGTAAACGCTGAGAAGAATGAAGCTACCTCTCCAGTTGCCTCTATAGGCACCACTTATTCTGTAAGCATGTGTTTCAGAGAGGTATTTTTATATAATAACATAGTTAACTATATTATCTCTATAAATATGTTCACCTTTGTAATTGCAGCAAGAGCTTTTGGACCTGTACACTCTAAATCTGCATCGCATTGATAAAGACGTTCAGCGCTGTGACCGAAATTACTGGTATTTTACTCCTGCTAACTTGGAAAAATTGCGCAACATCATGTGCAGGTAATAAAATCATTCCTTTTTGACCTTCACTATTTGTGCTCTGCTTTCAGTTTTGTTTTTGATCAACAATACAGTAAAACAGTAATATTGTTAGATATTATTACAATTTAAAATAACTTTATTTTAATATATTTTATATTAATATATTTTAATATGTAATTTATTCCTGTGATGCAAAGCTGTGATATTTCAGCGTCGTTACTCCAGTCTTCAGTGTCACATGATCCTTCAGAAATCATTCTAATATGCTGGTTTGGTACTCAAGAAATATTTTTTTATTATCGGTTAAAAACACTTGCTAATATGTTTGTGGAAATCTTTTTTCTTCCCAGGATTATTTTATGGGAAAAAAAATTCAATAGAAATGAAATAGAAATAAAATGTTTTAAATAGAATTTATAAAAGTCTTTACTGTTGCTTTTCATTAATTTAAAGCATTCTTGCTGAATAAAACTAATGTTTGTTTTTTTTGTCAAAATATCTTACTGACCCCAAACTAGTGTATATGTTGGCTGATATGGAATATTTAATTCCACATGCTAATTTACTGCATTTTACATTTTAGATTACCTGTGCCATCATCTAGTGCTCACTTCAAATTAAACTTTACTATCATTAATAATTTAATGAATGATCAAATGTAATCCTTAGCAAATGTAAAAATTAGTATCCATTTTTGTACTGTATAATATAATGTTGTGATTACCTAAAATTGTAAAAAAAAAAAACTAATTTTAGTTTTTAATGAAGACAAAATAGGATAGAATATTAACATTATGAAAAGTAGTAGTTTTAATGCCAGTGCATCCCTATTTCTAAGTAATCAGATGTATGATTTTTGCATGGCAGATGGTAAAACATGCATTAAACTACATTAAGTCATATCTTGAGGCCAGACTATTATAGACTTTGAAGTGAGCTCTTTGACTGCAACTGCATGTCAAAGCACATCAAACTCCTCAGAACACCTGGTGTTGTGATGTAGCTCAAATATCCCTGACCAACGCATATAATGACTTGTCCATTGCTGCAGTTATATCTGGCAGAACCTGGAAATTGGATATGTCCAGGGCATGTGTGACCTGCTCGCTCCCTTGCTAGTTATTCTAGATGATGGTGAGTCTGTCTTTGTGTAAACTGCTGTTCTTCATCTGTTTTTGAGTTCATGCCACTGTTTAAAAATGAAATAACAAGTATGCTTAGCTTTTCTCATCTGTTTTTACTGAATCTTTCAGAGGCCATGGCTTTCAGTTGTTTCACTGAACTAATGAAAAGGATGAATCAAAATTTTCCTCACGGAGGTGCGATGGACACACACTTTGCCAATATGAGATCTCTCATCCAGGTCAAACGTCTACTCTAGACATTTTTCTTTAATGTTTGTTCGAAACCGGCCTTTAAATGTAAAATGTGGATGCGGATCTTTTCACTCTTCACTGTGTGTAATTAGATTCTAGACGCAGAGCTGTTTGAGCTAATGCATCAGAACGGAGACTACACACACTTCTACTTCTGCTATCGCTGGTTTCTTCTTGACTTTAAAAGAGGTAATAATATCTTTCAAATTAAACGTATAATGAGATAAAATGTGACCCTGGAGCACAAAAGCAGTCTTAAGTCGCTGGGGTATATTTGTAGCAATAGCCAAAAATACATCATATGGGTCAAAATTATAGATGTTTCTTTTATGCTAAAAATCATTAGGATATTAAGTAAAGATCATGTTCCATGAAGATGTTTAGTAAATTTCCTATTGTAAATATATCAAAACTTAATTTTTGATTAGTAATATGCATTGCTAAGAACTTCATTTGGACAACTTTAAAGATGATTTTCTCAGTATTTAGATTTTTTTGCACCCTCAGATTCCAGATTTTCAAATAGTTGTAACTCTGCCAAATATTGTCCTAACCCATACATCAATGGAAAGCTTATTTATTCAGCTTTCAGATGATGTATAAGTCTCAATTTGGAAAAATTGACACTTAAGACTGGTTTTGTGGTCCAGGGTAACAAATATGGTTTAAACTGCCTTCGATGCTGCCTATCATGCAATGCGTTTACAAGTGACACTTGAGAAGAAATGTCTTCTGTTAGTTCTCATCTGCAATGAAATGAATCCATATTTTGCTTAATGAATGTTCAATCTCCTAATTAGCAATTGCATTGCCTTTTGTCGGTTGTGACTTAGTCATTTAAAACCTATTATAATGATATTCGGCTAAGCACAAAGCTTTACTCACATTAATGGCCATGTGCTTTATGAGAGAAAATATTTAATTTCATTAAAGCCCTTTTATATTAAAAACTAGAAAATGAGCTTCTGTCCAGGCTTATAAACCAATTCAGAAATGACAGCTCCCCCTGCTGTCCATTGATTTTCTCCAGCTTTGACTCTCTTATTTATTTAAATTTCAACAGTTGGCCTAATAAAAAAAAGTTACTATTGCCATCTTTGCCTAACATACATATTTCAATTCTTCAGAGTTGGTGTATGATGATGTGTTTGCTGTTTGGGAGGTCATCTGGGCTGCTAAGTGTGTCTCCTCCAGCCATTTTGGGCTCTTCATTGCTCTTGCATTGGTGGAGATATACAGAGACATCATTCTAGAAAACAATATGGACTTCACAGACATCATCAAGTTTTTCAATGGTAATTATATATTCATTATACACCCTGGTATGGTAACATAAATCTCAATGTCATAAACCTCTATTTAAAAAAATCATATAAAGACATCAGCATCAAGAATATAAGGTAGCTATATAACCTGCTCTTCACGAGCATTTCAAATCTAAAGAAAAGAGGATTGTGTAACCAAAATCCAGCACCATAGTCAGCAGAGTACAAACGCAATTCAAATTAACAACCTGTTGCATCTCATGTTTATGGAGAACTGGTAGTGCCATTTAAAACTCAAATGAAGGAAACTAAACTGACAAACAAATAGACATTTAAATTCATTTAAAAATATTTTATTCATGTTCAAATGTAGTTAAATGCAACAGTAAATAATAAATTGATCAGTCATTTCAAATGCAACATTTAAATTGCATTCTTAGAATTCTTAGTTTTCTTTATTTTCACTTAGATTTAAAATGATGTATCAATTTGTTAGTTACATTTAACTATTTTTAAAACTATAAAATTCATTCATTTTAAATGTATGTATTAATTTTACAATTCATGAAGTGATTTATTTACATTTTTTAGTTTTTCATTGTAGTTTTTCATTTAGTTACATAGATGTTGAATCGAGTGTGATCTTTTTTAGCTGCTCTTGGATGTACCCACAATTCAAATGTGGAGAAATTGCTTTAGGGCTATTTGATTGTTTATTTTAGATTTAGTTCTTGCTAAATAGTCAGGTCATTTGAATAAATGCATCCTCATATCATCCTTTGTTTTTCAGAAATGGCTGAGCATCACAATATCAAGCAAATTCTGACTCTGGCTCGAGACCTGGTTTGCAAAGTGCAGACGCTTATAGAGAACAAGTAACTCTGAAACCTCTCACCTCTGTTGTTTAAATCATGTTCACAGTGTAACCCATCAGCCCTTGCTACAATACAACAGGGAACATTTGGCCAAAGCTTAATGAGCTTCAAGCATATGGTAACATTTCCAATGCCAAACTTCTTGATCTACCTGCAATCAGTCAGTGTGCAATTTAAGAGAGTCATCTGGCTCTTTAATCAGGTTTTACTGAACATCATAGTACATAACATTTCATAAACAGATGCTGCTAATGAGTGGTCATTCACTGTTTGACATGGAATTTTATCCTGTGTCTAAAATGCAGTCAGGATTACCAGTCACTAGTGACTCGTGTGCTCAGTTCCAAAACCTAGTGAGCTGCCTTGCTGTCTACTGCCTACATAAACTTGTTGAAAATAAACTAAATTTGATTCCAGTAGAATTTGGTGTTAGTATGTTTTTAAGCTAATTTAATGACACTCATACTGGACACAGCACACACGCTCACACATTCTGGGTAGAATAGTCCGTTTAAATCAGATTTAAACTTTTATTGATGCTTGTCAGTGAAAACAAGTATTTTTAAACATTTTCTTCATTCATGTGATGCTGCCTTAGAATTTGACCAATAGAACATATCTTAGAAAGCAGCATTATGTTGCAGATGTGTGCCTATGATGCCTTAAAATGCTGCCTATGTAGGCAGCTCACTAGGTTTTTAAACAGAGCAATAGTTCAGGAGTTCAGGTCAGGTGCATTTTATTGCTAAGAGACGCTCACACTAGATTTCATGCTCCATTTGCTTTCACATATATGGAGTGCACATATGTACACTGCTGTTCAATAGTTTGGGATCAGTCTGTTTTTTTTTTTTTTACGTTTTTGGAAGTCTAATGCACACCAAGGCAGCATTTATTTGATTAAAAAAAAATACAGTAATAACAGTACTGTAAAAACAATATAAAATAACTTTTCTATTTTAATTTATTTTAAAATGTAATTTATTCCTGTGATGGCAAAACTGAATTTTCAGCATCATTACTCCAGTATTCAGTATGGCATGGTACTTTAGAAGTCCAGAAACATTATCAACAATTATGCTGCTTAAAGGGATAGTTCACCCAAAAATGAAAATCTGATGTTTATCTGCTTACCCCCAGGGCATCCAAGATGTAGGTGACTTTGTTTCTTCAGTAGAACACAAACGAAGATTTTTAAGTCCAACCGTTGCAGTCTATCAGTCGTATAATGCATGGCAATGGTAACAAAATCTATGAGAGTAAAAAAAACATGCACAGACAAATCCAAATTAAACCCTGCGGCTCGTGACGACACATTGATGTCCTAAGACACGAAACGATCGGTTTGTGCCAGAAACCGAACAGTATTTATATCATTTTTTACCTCTAATCCACCACTACGTCCAACTGCTTTGAGCTTGCGCACGGCATCCGGTGCATGAGGTGTGTACGCGCTATGGCGTAGTTTACATTAATGGGTGTGTTGATATCTAGACGAAGAGCAATCAACCATAACTTCAGGCGAGCAGGCTCAGAAGTTGGGAATACGTGGAAAGTCACCTCTCCCGAATCAGTTCGCACGAGAGAAAGTAATCTTTTAGTTTTAAGTCGGTACCATTTTGATTAGCCGTCGTACCTACAATGAATGTGCACTGTGTAAACAATGAGTGAAGTATGCGCACAAGAGATCACTTCCGGCGCTTGCGTAAACTACGCCAGAGCGCGTACACACCTCACGCACCGGAAGTCGTACGCGTGCTCAAAGACAGTTAGACATAGTGGTGTATTAGAGGTAAAATATGATATAAATACTGTTTGGTTTCTCGCACAAACCGATCGTTTCGTGTCTTAGGACATCAATGTGTCGTCACGAGCCGCAGGGTTTAATTTGGATTTGTCTGTGTATGTTTTTTTTACTCTCATAGATTTTGTTACCATTGCCATGCATTATACGACTGATAGACTGCAACGGTTGGACTTAAAAATCATTATATGTGTTCTACTGAAGAAACAAAGTCACCTACATCTTGGATGCCCTGGGGGTAAGCAGATAAACATCAAATTTTCATTTTTGGGTGAACTGTCCCTTTAATATGTTTGTGGAAAATACTGATGAACATAATTTATTTCAAATATAAATCTTTTGTAACTTTATAAATGTCTTTACTGTCAATTTTGATGCATTAAATTATTCCTTTGTGAATAACAGTATTCCTTTATAAAAAAAAAAAACTTACCTTAAAGCGGCAGTCCATAACTTTTTTTGTGTTCAAAATGTATATAATAAGCGAGTACACCATGAATCCATTTTCCAAACCGTGTTTTTGGCTTGTCCTGAATCTCTACGGTACACCTATAATAAGTGTTTATATTCTGACTATTTTAGACTGGTTCAGGTAGGTACCGCTGCGGAGTAGCCCAGTACCTGCGTGATTCATCATAGACATAAACAGAGAGAAGTAGCTCCAGCTACAATGTTCTGTTTATTAACCGCAAGAGCGCCAAAAGTTACGGACTGCAGCCTTAAGTATAATGTTATTAACCGCTAGAGCACCAAAAGTTACGGACTGCAGCTTTTATTAAATTACTTTTGAACAGTAGTGTATTCATAGATTTTCCATCATGTACTGCATACAAATTTAAATTAAAAAGACGTTTGATTTGTAATGCCATGGGAAACTGTAGTAGATAATATATATTATATTTAAACATTTCATTTCATTTTATTTATAATTTATTAAAAAACAGAAGCCTGAGAGTATGATATATGTTGTTACAGATATTTGTTGTGACATCTGAAATAAATAGGGATGATTTTACTTGCTTAAAATCTAGTGTGACCGCCTTCTTAAAGCTTCTGTTTGACCTGCACACTTTATTAGTATTCTGATGTGCCACTTTTAATATGATGTAGATTGTAGTAGTAGAGGGCGCTGTGCTTTCAGTCGACTGACCTTCTGCATGTGTTTCTGTAACCTGCTTATTTCCGAGTCAGTGTGTTTACTGCGAGTTGTTTCACTGAATCAGATCAGGTTATTGTATCACACAGTATATTATTAGACAATACAAAGGAATGTCTCTAGGTCTTAGATTTAGAACAGAGAAAAAATTGTGTGTACATTTCTTCTCTTTGTGTTACAGAACTGGTTTATGTCATGTTTGAGTCAGTACTGTGTTTCAGTGCATTGGTGTCATGTTTTCAGTCAGCCTATGAATACCTGGCATTAGGATTTTTTTTTTAGATTTGATGTTTGTGTCGGAGTGTGTGTGTGTGTGTGTGTGTGTGTGTGTGGACCGGGACAGCTCACAATCACTACCACAAGGCCTTGTCTGCTTGATGTATTCTTGCTGTTTGTGGACTGTATAGAAAAAATATGTGCTATATTTATTATATAGAGAGAATCTATATTATTAACTTTGGTGTCGTTGCCTATGTGGTTTTCAGAATGGACACTAATATTCACACAAAGAAATGAAAATCATCAGTGCTCTTATTTATTTTTCATTATGAAGTTGTTGTATAAAATGTACATTGCGTTTCTTCATCCACACTAACCACACTCCTCTGCTATAGATCTAATATTATAGTACCTATAACATGTTGTAATCACAATGAAGTATTGATCCTATGATCAAACTAGTACAGCTACGGGTCTGAAACCTTTGGTGTATCCACAATGAGGTGCAATCGGAAAGTGTATCGAATCCCAAGTATAATTTTTCATGTGTCTGATCTGTAACACAAGGCTAAAAATGACCATTTAAGCAAGAATAGTAAAGCAGATCAAAATCAAAGTGTATTCCAAACGTCTGTGAACACATGAATTTGCATCTAATCTACATAATTTATGTGGTCCAAAATGAGCAGGTGTTAATAATTCTGCTGCATTGAATGTTGTTGATTTCTTCATGTGCAAAATATATTCTAAGAAGAGAAAAAAAAAACTCATTTATAATTTGTATGTGTTGTTACGTATTTATTTAAATCTGAATGTATGCATTTTGTCTGTTTTTATGTGAATGTTCTTGCTACACTGTGATCAATTACTACAAAGTGTTACATTCTAAATATATATTAAATGGTAAATGTACTTATTTAAAAAACAAAATAAAATGGAATTGTTCTTATTTTTCCAACAAATATAATCATCATATTCCTGCTTCTGTAGGCAATGATTTAGCATGTGTGTGTGTGAGTGTGTGTGCGTGCGTGCGTGCGTGCGTGCGTGTGTGTGTGCATATATAACAAATATTTTATTTATAATTATATTTTTTTTTTTGTTCATGCAAGAGTATATTATATACAAAATTTGAGTTTCATTCCTTATGTTATTAGAATTAATAGTGTTTTATATCAAAAAATGTCATTTTTAATATTTTTTATTAACATATAGATGTATAATTAGTTCAATTGCAATTATAACATATACAGTATATAGTCATACATAAATAGTCAAACGGTTGATATTTGCATTGTCTGTGCCTGCCTACTTCTCAAAAGGGCAGATTAAAAATCACTCGCCCGAACAGGGACTTGAACCCTGGACCCTCAGATTAAAAGTCTGATGCTCTGCCGACTGAGCTATCCGGGCTCTAAGTAGGTGTCTCGCACAGTCCTCTTTGAGAAGATAAGGCATGACCGTTTGAGGAAAAATAAACGGAATCTTTGTTCTCTACTTCCGGAAAAGTCGATTTTTTTTTCATCTTCATTTTTGGTAGGACGCCTGTAGTTATGTGTCCTTAACTTTGGAACGTCATTTCAACATGTTTTGTAAATGTGCAGCGCGAGCTTCAAGGGCGCTGCGGCCTGCGCATCCTCGGTGTGGAGTATTAACGCTGCCCGCTCTAAGCAATGCTGTATCGGGCAGCGGAACGTTCTGGTCACGGTGGATGTGCAAACGGGAATCAAGTAACTCCGCCTGGAATTCCAAGGTAAAGCTTTCTTAATTTGCAGACGTTGGGTTTGGTTTGAATAAATGTGTAAGATGTAAATTAACCCATCAATAGGTGAGCAATTGTTTTATGTTGAACATATTATGCAATGCTAATATAAATATTTCGCACATTGTTCAACTCTTCAGGTTCCTCAGGCACCCACATGGGAGCCCATAGCAGAAAACCAACTTCCACCGGTAAGGCCTCTTTCTGCACACACGTTTATGCAGCTTATGCTGTACTCATGAAATACATGAATGTGTAGTAATAGGTGTGGGGTTATTGATGTGTAACCATAGGCTGCCACTAGAGGGAGCGAGAGGAACACTGATGTGCCAGTGAGTTATATACATGTAGTTATTTCAGAGTTTTCAGAAAAAGCACGTAAATACAGTTCGAATCCAGAGTCTTTATTTACAAGACACGACAGAAGGGGACAGTGGGGCAAAATGTGCCCCCCCCGACAATTTTGTCACCAAATATTTCTCCTTGCCTAGTTGACAACCTAAGCAAAAAGTGGCAGGACTGGAGCATGGTACCAGAAGCCCTCATAAAGATAAAGCTTTACTTTGACATTTTTCACAATGTTTCTTGAATCTCGCAGTAGATGGCAGCACAAAAACATATTTCAGAAACTGAGCAGCATTCTACTGTAGTGATTATGTGAAAAGTTTTGCCCTAAACAACATTAATAATATTTTGTACATATTCAGTTTGTCTGTTTTGTTACATACATTATATATAATTATATATAAACATTCACAAACACACATTTACAATATAATTTTGCTTTGTGTATATATATATATACAGTATATACTGTATATATATATATATATATATACATATATATATATATATTAGTACTTTTGTATTTTGTTTATTTTGTTTTTAAGAGTACTTGGCAATCAATCTCATTCTGATATAAAAATGAAGAATTTACGTTTTCCTAAAAGACATAACAATATAACCATGCAGTGTTGGGGGTAATGCATTACAAGTAACGCGAGTTACGTAATCAGATTACTTTTTTAAAGTAACTCACATTCAGTGTTCCTCAAAATCTATAAAAACAGTCAAATGCAAACTCAGAATATTATACAAACCTGCAATAATTGTTAAATAAGACAAATATAATTTGTATTTAATCCCATTTTATTAACCAGTGTCTTTACTACTGACCTTCGATGATCCAATTCAACCATACTAATAATCAAAAATGACACATTTGTGTTTGATTTTAGTTATTGCTGAATAGTGTTGAACTTTCTTCTCCTGTGTCATATTCTTCACGCGATTTGTTTGTGCTGCGCCCTCTACTGTACAGACGTGAATTTACATTTCCTTCAGCCTGAGGCATATTCATTTCACTTTTCTTATGAAAGGGCTTTTATGTTTGTAAAAGAAGAACTTTTTTATATTAAAAACAAACAAGCAAGCCCTGCCCAGATTTAAAAAGTAACTCAAAAGTAACGTAATGCATTACTTTCCATAAAAAGTAACTAAGTAACGTAATTAGTTACTTTTTTTTAGGGAGTAACGTAATATTGTAATGCATTACTTTTAAAAGTAACTTTCCCCAACACTGTAACCATGTTTAATTTTATTTGCAGCCAACAAGAGTCTCACCAGATTTAGTGGACAAGTTGGAGAGATTAGCCCTTGTTGACTTTGGCAGTAAAGAAGGGGTGGACTGTCTGGAGAAAGCCATTAGATTCGCTGATCAGCTTCATGTCATTAATACTGATGGTGTGGAGCCGACGGATTCAGTTCTAGAGGACAGGTACTTAAGAATCCTGCTGATGCTCACATCAACTCATATAAGTTATGTGACAGTGTGCTAGTTGTTCTGGGTACCACTTCCAGTCAGTTTAGGGGTATCCATTGAATTAAGGCCTTTTTTGATGGTGTTTTTTCATTTGTTGACTGTTTTTAATATATTTGCTATATTTTCTCATTGCAAAATGGTGGTAGCTCTTCCCAGACACTCAAAGTATGTTTGCTCATAGTGTCAACATGTCACCATTTGATAGGAGCTAAACTTTTCCCTTGAACTTCCTGTTGTGTACAGAGAGCTGTATTTGAGAGATGATAGGGTAACAGAGGGTGAATGTGCGGAGGAGCTGCTCCAGCTGGCCAAACACACAGTAGAGGAGTACTTTGTTGCACCTCCAGGTAAAAAAAAAACCCAAACTATTGCTAAAAAGACAAGATGTTCTTTGAGAACTTAAGAACAAATGAATCTCCATTCTAACATTTAGTATTGAGGTTTGTATAATTTATTGATTTAACCAGAGAAGACCTGAACTAGAATTGAACTGCGTGCCCATCAGATTAGAGCAAAGGTGTCTTGGTTAAATTTGCTTTGTACTTTTTTTTAAATAATTAATTGAATATGTGTACTACTTATGAATAATCAATCTTTCTTTTTTAATGCAGGGAACATCCCACTGCCTAAGAGAGAAGAGAGATCTGCTATGCTTAAACACTCTGAATTTTGACTGAAATGTAACATTGGATCTGACTTGCGTTATAATAAATATTTATTTTTATCTTGTGTACTATGTCTTGTAATGTTCCAAACATATTTAAGGAAATGGGTGATGCCTTTCTATCACTCATGGTCCCTTTATAGTGATAGATGAAATAAAGCAAACACAAATAAAAATTCATAAATCTAAGAAATAGCCAACAAGAAGGACATGTTACAGAAAGTATCAAATAATCATAATAATTTCATTAACAAAGCAAATGTGAATGAACAGAATAATCAAAACATTTTTGTTTTGATCAAATGTTTCGTTAGTATGCTTTATTTGCCTTTACAAAAATTCCATCATTCCAAAAATCGTTGTTGTTCATAAAAAGCAATCAGAATTCTGTATATATATATATATATATATATATATATATATGTACATAATAATTCTGATTGTCTTTTATATATATACTGTGTATATATATATATATATATATATATTGATGAATGTTTCGGGGTTTGGTTCTGATGTAACTGAACAAGCATGCATCGTTGATTAAACTTTGCTGAACAATAGTCTGCTGATCAATGATAGTCCTTCATCTGCGATCAAGTGGAATGGAAACAGAAAGTGACGTTGTGAAGTTTTCAGAAGCGAAACATTACTGTTTGTGGGCGGGGATTAAGTTGAGGCTTTAAATGCACACCTCCATCCAGAGACACCTCATCTAATGCTGGAGTGATTTACCTGACTTCAAATAGATTATTCGGCAGAAGATATGAACAGCTCGGTAAGTCGCATGAAAATATTCCACATAAATAGCATATAATAAATTCAATATAATTAGGTAAACTCCGATTTTAAAAACGCCAACAATGCTGTGATAGTTTTGAATACTTGTAATTAATATTTTGACAGGTAATGGAACTGAAAATAAAACTGATGGGAGGAGATGAGAGGAGTCTGGAAGTGAGAGGTGATGCCACGGTTGGCGAACTCAAGCAGCTCATTTCTGAGCTCTTCAGAGAGCCTCCTTACAAACAGAGGCTTTCTGCCGAGAACGGTTCCCTTATCAGCCTTGATTCCAGAAAACTCAGCGAATACGGTTTGCATTCAGGCTCAGTTGTGATCCTGCTCATCAACAAACCTTTCCAGGTGTTTGTTCAAAACGAAAAAGGCAAAATAGGAACGTATGATGTTGATGTCAATGAGACCGTAGATCAGCTCCAGACTAAGATCTACAACAAAGAGAGAGTCCCAAAGGATCAGCAGAAACTGATTTACAAAGGCAAACAGCTGGAGTCTGGCAAGAAGTTGCAAGACTACGGCATCACGTCAGGAGACACCATTTACATGACTCTCCGGCTCCGAGGAGGTTCATAGAGATTTATAATTGATCCAATTCATTAATAAATAAAAACTACATTTGCCAAAATAGAAAATCTGGATAAGATTATCTGTAAATGCACATTTATGCCTGTTTATTACCTATTCTATTTAATATCTTGTGTCAGAATATTTATTTTATTTTGATTTAATGTATTCATGTCATTTATTAAACTGATACAATCTGGAATAAGTGTAACTTTACTCATACAGTTCCAGTTTAAGATGTCTGCATATGTGCTGCTGGCCAACATTTGTTGTTAAATAAAATGTAAATGCTCAACTAGTCCTGTGTATTTTGTATGTTTTATTGGCTTGTTATGCCACTGCCTCAGACCATAACTAAAAACTTCAGATTAAAACATAAGAAAAATGGTTATGTTAAAAAAGAAATCACATTTTGGTGAGTTGTTCTGTGACTTTAAGACTTTTTTTTAAATATAATTGTAAGTAACTGCTTATATTTTCTGTCAACTCATTTACACAAATTGTAAATAAATAGTTGGAACAGCATTATTTGACTGTGGGGATAATTCAGTCTCAGTTTGAAGTCAGATATCTCGGGTCATTTATTGATTGAGGTGAATGCTAAATTTGTCAATATTTATAATAAATATTTGACAGATTATTGTTGTTTTAACTGACCCATGAGTAACAAATACACATTTTGTGACAAAACTGACAAAGACGTAGCTTGCACCCAAACATATATTAATTGCCTCATGTTTAATAATTCAAAATAGTTCCTTGGTAAATGAACTTTTATTTCAATTTTGTAGCCATATGGCTGCTTTAACTTCAAAAGTGTCTTCAGAATATTTAGTGAAGGATAAGCTCATCCTGGGCAATAAACACAAACACTGTTCATACTATAAATAGGACATAAACAAGATTGTTACCTCTCAGGTGGGACTGGTTGGACTGTAACTGTATCATAGTAGGCTATAATGGACAGCAGGCATAATTACCAGCAAACAACACCAGAACAGAAAACAAAACTTGAACTGCAGTGTAGTCACAAATGGAGGTGTATTCGCTCTATATGACGTGCTTCACTTTACCTGGATTTCCTCAATCACCAGGTGGAACATTTTCACATTCCAATGAACTCTGATTTCTTGTTATGTGTGAATGAAACTCTCAAGTAGATGACTAATTCATTATTTTTGTTACATTTATTTTTGAAAGTTAATTTTGATGTTTGAGGTAGATAAACTAGGAAGGAAGGAAAGGACTAAACTATACGCTGTTATAAACTATAACCGTTTATAGCAGTATAACTATAACTATAGACAGCGTATAAACTATACACTGCTTTTAATGTAGATTACAGAAAACAAATATGGGACAGCTAAGATACAAAAACAGAACGTGCCCAGAGCGTTCATATGGTTCCTGCAGGTTTTTTTATTTTATTGTTTGTTACATTTATTTAACATGTTTGTTTGTTTGTTTGTTTGTTTGTTTATCCATGCATCCAAGTAAGAAAGTTCTCTGCGGGTTACCAGAACGTTGCAATAATTTTTTTTTATTTTTTTTTTGGTAATTACCTGCAGGGAACCAATAGCATACAGAACGTTCTATAATGGTTATTTCTATTTTTAGTTTCCCAGAACGTTTTGGGACCCACAAATGGTTGGCTGCGTAAATATAGCTAAACGAGATTTATAAATAAATAAATGAATGAATTTTTGTTTGTTTTTTTCTTGCGCTGAACATCCTGTTGGTCAATGATTTCTCAGGACTCGGGCTACATCAGCGATTTGGTGAGAATGGAAACCGAAAGTGACTGAGCAAGTTTTTGGAAACGAAAATTGTTTTAAGGCGGGGCTTGAGCTGACGCGTTATATATTCATATCTTTGCTCACTGTAACCAGAGGCACAGTACTTGAATTCAGTGCGACTTACAAGACTTACTGAAGAAAACATCCAGCGAAAGCCATATTCAGCGAAGCTTTTGAACAGACAGCCAGGTAAACTGCATACCTATGAAAATATTGAGCATTAATATGAACTCTAATCTCCAGTTTTAAGTAACTAAATGGTGCTGTAGTTGTCAAATTTTAATTATTGTATATTTGATCTAATTTGAAAGGTGATGGAACTGACAATAAGACTGCTGGGCGGAGATGTGAAGCGTCTGGAAGTGAGCGGTGAAGCCACAGTTGGCGAACTGAAGAAACTCATTTCTGAGCTCTTCAGAGAGCCTCCTTACAAACAGAAGCTGTCTGCCGAGAACGGTTCGCGTATCAGCCTCGAGGATGAGTCTCGAACCCTCAGCAGTTACGGGTTGCACTCTGGATCAGTGGTCAGTCTGCTCATCACCAACCCCGGACCTTTCCAAGTGTTCGTCAGGAATGAGGAGGGCCAGACCAAGACGTATGATGTTGATGTCAATGAGACCGTAGATCAGCTCCTGGCTAAGATCAACCGCAAAGAGAGAGTCCCCGTGGACCAGCGCAGACTGATTTTCAACGGAAGACAGCTGGAGTCTGGCAGAAAGTTGCAGGAATACGACATCACCTCAGGAAGCACCATTCACATGACTCTCCGTCTGCGAAGTGGATGATCGGATAAATGTGTGCAAAAAAGGACTAAAAAGTGTTCTCGTTGTATGTGTCAGTGATGTAGCTAAATACGATAGGCCTACTATACTCGCTATCAAAATGTTGTGGGTTTTTTCTTCGTAATGTCTATAGAACTCATGTAATTCCATTGTAGGCTATTTATCTGCAGATGTCTTCAGGGTAACACATTCAGGTGTCCTTGTTACACGTTACATGTACTTACTATTATAATAATTGTAAATTATGCATAATTACATGCAAGTAACCCTAAGACAAACCCTAATCCTAACCTTAACCATATAGTAAGTACATGTAGTTACTCAATATTACTCAGTATTTAAATGTATAATTAAACTGTAAAAAGGACACTTTAAAATAAAGTGTAGCCTAACCCTCTTCAGAACTCATGTAGGCTAATTCCATTGTATATAACTGTATCTTTTAGCATTATGAATGATCTTTCACTGTGACTAAAATAATAAATACTCCAATCATTCCCAAGAAGAAAGTTTCAGTATTGACTTTTTTTGTAGTTCAGTGGTTCTCAAGTTTTTGTGATTGACTGAATAAGATTTTTTTAACTCACAATTTCCCAAAAAGCTTGCCATAACTAGTAAATGTTAATTCTTACTTAATTTACATGACGTCCAGGTCTGTAAATCACACTTTCCTGCTTAGGATACCTCATATTTTCCTAAAAATAAGATAAGAAATATATTTATTTTTAGCTCATATAATACTTTAAGAACTACTGATCTTGCCATTTGAGGTCAAAATAGATATATGTAAACAAATATTTCATCACAATTCACACACATATTCACAATGCCAGACACAAACTTGTCACACGAGGTGTTTATGCTCGCACACAGGAATGGAGAGCAATAAGGAAGACATTCTTACAATTCCAGAAAAGATCACTATGAGGATTTTATTTGTCTCCTGTTGTCATTCTAATGTCCTGAAGTAAAAAGCCAACTTAAACAACTATACAAAGTGTTTTGTCCAAGTCATGAAAAAGGGTGACATGTCTCCAGAAACCAAATGATAATAAATGGAAAGTGTTCAGTCTTCTCAGACTGATACGCTGCACTAAGTTCTGCACATATCAGAGTGGGTGTGGTTGCTCTCTATAGGGTGTGTTTGGGATCACCTGGGTTTCCCTCGTCATGTGATCATGGGGAAAACCCTCTCTTTCCAATGATTCACTCAGGAGCAGAATGGAAAATGAAGGTTGTGTAAGTAGCTGTCAATGAAACACCTTTTCGTTTTCGTTGGCAACAAATTTTGATCACCGAAAGGTTCTTTGGGGAACCAAAAAAGGTTATTTTCTATGGCATCACTGTGAAAACTCCCACTTGGAACCTTTATTATTGAGTGTTGAGTATAATTGCATAGTTAATGGATGTTACACAAATAAAGAAAGAAAGAAAAAAATAGTAAAAGTAATAATAATAGAAGCATTAGGGAACAAAGTACATAATTCCACTATGACGTAATTCAATTTCAAGCTCTGAACACACCTACATGTTTGTATGTTACGTCATGTTTATGGCTTTTAAAACACTGTCAGACAGTAAAAAGCCTTTAAATCATAATATTAATTGAATTACAATAAATTTTTTTGGTGTGCGTGTGCACTGGTGTCATGATCTCCAGCTGGAGTGCCCATAAGCTTCTCTAGAGGGCACTCCATTCTGTACCTTGCCATTCACTCGGGACTCCATTTCCCATAATCCTTTGCCCAGACTCATCAAGTGCATCACCTGTCTCTCATCAGATCTCATCATCAGTTCACAGCTGTCTCACATTAGTAGGACTATAAGAATAGCACACACACTCTGTCATCGCTGGTGATTGAATGTTGTATAGCTCTTCTGTGGTTTCTAAGTTTCCGTGTTTCTCTGTTTCCTTGCCTTCGTGTTTTGATCCCTGGACTGTTTTCTTGTTTATGATTGTTTTGCTGCCTGCCCTGACCATTGCCTGATTATCTGGATTATTCTTTTGCCTTGCCACCGCCATTGTTGTTTGCTGTTGTTGACCACACCTGTTTGACTACGCTCTTATTAAAGCCTTGCATTTGGATCCCCACTTTGTCGTCACGCCTCCTTCGTTACAGATGGTAATTATTTTGAACCAAGTGTCATAAAAACAACATTTGGTTGTTTCCAATGATTCCAACACTTTCCAATGATTCACTCAGGAGCAGAATGGAAAATGAAGGTTGTGTAAGTAGCTGTCAATGAAACACCTTTTCGTTTTCGTTGGCAACAAATTTAAAGTCAACATGATTCAGCATTATTATAAAATCAATCTTTTATGATCTGTTCACCGAAAGGTTCTTTGGGGAACCAAAAAAGGTTATTTTCTATGGCATCACTGTGAAAACTCCCACTTGGAACCTTTATTATTGAGTGTTGAGTATAATTGCATAGTTAATGGATGTTACACAAATAAAGAAAGAAAGAAAAAAATAGTAAAAGTAATAATAATAGAAGCATTAGGGAACAAAGTACATAATTCCACTATGACGTAATTCAATTTCAAGCTCTGAACACACCTACATGTTTGTATCTTACGTCATGTTTATGGCTTGTTATGCTCACTGCTTTTCTGAAGTATGGAAACAGAAAGCTGCTGAACAATCCCTGAGAAGGAAACTCAGCGTGGGGCTGAGTTTCAAAACAATCATGAATATTTAGAACTGATTGTGTGTTTGTGAAAGAGGCAACTTCATTTTTACAAAAAAAAAGTAATAAATATATTTTATTTGTTAACTTTAGAGCTGCTATAAATGCTGTGTAAAATGTGCACTTCACATTTTAAATAAAACAATATAACCTTTAAAACACTGTCAGACAGTAAAGAGCCTTTAAATCATAATATTAATTGAATTACAATACATTTTTATTGGTGTGCGTGTGCGCTGGTGTCATGATCTCCAGCTGGAGTGCCCATGAGCTTCTCTAGAGGGCACTCCATTCTGTACCTTGCCATTCACTCGGGACTCCATTTCCCATAATCCTTTGCCCTGACTCATCAAGTGCATCACCTGTCTCTCATCAGAACTCATCATCATAAAACAATATAACCTTTAAAACACTGTCAGACAGTAAAGAGCCTTTCAATCATAATATTAATTGAATTACAATACATTTTTATTGGTGTGCATGTGTGTGTGTGCTGGTAATTATTTTGAACCAAGTGTCATAAAAACATTGTATGCATTTATCTGGCTATGAAAGTACACAAAATATATTAGCAAGATCACTGCTATTTATGCATATCAACTCACAGTGAAGATAATAGCAGTAGTAATAGTAACCGCTAAAATAAGTTTGTGATCAATATATTTTAATTAATCAAATACAACAATCAAAACCCTGACATCATTGTCAGGTGCTTCCACAAGCAGAAGAAAGACATAAGCAGATTTTTTTTTTCTAAAATGATTCATAACAGAGCAACAAGTCATTAACCATCAGTGGAAGTAGCAATAAAATCTCATTACTGATCCACATCACAGTTATTTTACAGAAACTGATCAATATTCCCCATCAGTTTTCCTGGAAGACATTTAAAACATATCCGACGCGCAGAAGTCCTTTAAAGGCACAAATTGGATTCAACCAAGGCCTACTGTAGCTGGTTTTGTGGTTTCATTTCCTGACCGAGGCTAGATAGGCATACCAGAATAAAGCAACCAGGTTTGCAAACAGCACTCGGAACTGTGCAAAGAGTTCGAGAAAAAGAAAATGAGATAATGGATCAGAGAAGCCTTATGCAATCTGGAAGAGAGGACTGGTGTAATGTTCTTACACCTACCTGTACAGGTACATAGTTGATATTGATAAACTGAATTGGGGTCCAAACTTTCCAGTTCATCTTCATCGCAGGCCAGTAACTTGTTTTAAGTTTGTTTTGAACATCTGCGAGAGTCTTGCCCTGCAAAGATGACATTTGCATTATTTTCAGGATTTCATAGAGATATTGTCAATGTGCAGCCTTAAACTTGCAGCATATCTCATGAATTAGAAATCTAAGATAAAATAAGTTTAGTGCAAATCAATGTAGCTGTAAACATAATAACCATAACTGATTAAAGGGTTAGTTCACCCAAAAATGAAAATTAGCCCACAAATTACTCACCCTCAAGTCATCCTAGGTGTATATGACTTTCTTCTTTCAGACGAATCCAGTCGGAGTTATATTAAAAATTGTCTTTGATCTTTCAAGCTGTTTCATGGCACTCAGCAGGTGTTGCATGCTTCAAGCCAAAAGAAGTTAAATAAAAAGCACCCATCCATAAAAAAAAAGTGTCTCACACGGCTCCGGGGGGTGAACAAAGGCCTTCTGTAGCGAATCGATGCGTTTTTGTAAGAAAAATATCCACATTCAAACCGTAATAATCACTTTAATGTAGCTTGTGCTCACTGTTGTACACGGAAGCAGTTGCGGGAGGATGATGTATGAGGTCGGCTTTGCGCATGCGCCGCTCAGAAGTAACGCACGCGAAAGCGCAGGGGAGAGATCAAAACAAAAAAACTGTCACTAATTAGAAGTACAAAACGAGGATTTGTAAAGAAGAATGTCGAATAAGCATTTGTAAAGATTTGTAAAGAAGAATAAGCAAAGCTGACTCCAAAGCATTCATAACCACATAAAAGAGCAAGAGGAAAGCAGGAGCGAATATTAGACGTTCCAGCAGCAGGCTCTTGATCAGGCAGTATGGGACAGTGTTAGGCAACAGCACCTCCAGGAGATGGTAGAAGTAATGACTGACTGGACCTGTGATAAAAAGTCTGAAAAAGAACAATTAAAAAGAGACATTTGAAACATTTGTAACTCATTTAACAGTCCTGGTATTAAATATTTTTTGTAAAATGACTTAATGTGTACTGTGACATGTATGTGTAGTCTTTGAAATATGTAAAACATAAATATTTTACATGATTATGGGGTGTATGTAATCAAAATGCATTGTCACTCTACCCAAATATTGCAAAGTGTACAGGTCCCAGTACATTGATTTTCTTTTTTGGGCTATTTTCTTTGTTGCTCTTCCTGTACTCCAAAGCTTGAGACAGTAGATTTCCCAAAGCAGAGAGAATACCACTGCAAGAAAGAACAAAACTGTCATTGTATCATTGAACCCACATGGCCTTGCATCTAAAGATGAAGACACTCGTCTTTCTGTGTTTGGTCCAAAAGTGAGTGTTACTTTTAACTGGACTTGATTTCCCCACCCCCCCAAACAACCAATAGAAAAACACAGTTCAAAGTCCTTCATGGCTTAAGCTAAAAAAAAAAAGTAATGGATAAAGGATATCTTTATATATGACTGCTACTACTACAAAGCATTTTATTAATAAGTTTAAGAAGGATTATTTATTTTTTTTGCTTATTGTTTAGTGATTTTAATTCGTTTATAAGTATTTTATATAAAATAAATATATATTTAAATATATAAAATATAATTTTTCAATGGTATATTTTTCAACTTAAACTAATGTATAAAATTATACATTATTCTTAGTTATTAATTATATAAATATTATAGTGCTGTCGAACGATTAATCGCATCCAAAAAAATAATAATTCGTTTACATAATAAGTGTGTACTGTGTGTGTAATCTATTTATGTATATATAAATACACACACATAGTCATGTTTCACTGATATATTAATAACGTATGAAATTATGAAATAAGTAATAAATATATAATAACTGTATTAATATAAGATTGAGTGTTAATTATCATTACCTTACATTAGTTGCATTTCACAATTCATAGGTGTAAATTTAACAACTAGTAGAAATAGTAAACTAATTAAGTTCTACCATGATCAGAACTAACAAGAGATTCGGTGACAATAAACTGCTGGTATATTAGCTTTTATGTTCTATTGTTTTGAGCATAGCAATAAAAAAACACAATAAATTCTACTTGTCTAATATCACTGCAAGCAGAATTCAAAGTAGATGTAGTATTGTTACATGATCAGGGTGTAATGTTTTGAGTATATTGATTTATAATAATTGGTTAGTGGTTCAACCAAGACAATAACGATCAGCGTGGTAACATTAATTAAACCGAAGTGAATTTCCCCCCAAAAATCTACAGCTAGCCAACTAGCTTTAACAAAAATGTAAACTGACCTCGTAACCGATTTGGTGATGATTGGATATTTCTTTAACAAACTCAAGTACTGCTGCAGTACCCTCGTCAGAAAAGAGGAATCTCGGATAAGTACACTTTGGGTTGGCATCTTCAGTTTAGTTTACTAGTACAACGTCTGTGCACTTGGGTCATGAGAGCTCGGTGATTTTTTAACAAAGTGCACTGCAAATAGTGTTGGGTCGTTCTTGAACGATTCGTTCGTTTTGAACGAATCTTTAATGTGACTCGGGAAGAACGAGTCGTATCGGGGAGCGATTCGTTCAGTCGCGCATGCGCACTTAAGTTGATCTGCATATTCTTTATAACAATTTTTTTTGTTCTCTTCTTGTGCATGTCTCAGAAGTTCAAGATAAGCTTTCAGCACTGAGTAAACTTGAAGGCCGTCAGATAAAACATTATGAATGGACATTAAAACCTGTTGAGCCATGAAAAGCTGCTTTGTTTCAAGGAAGAAATTAGTTTCCAAATAGATAATAACATTCTGCTCTAGTGTCTCTTTAATGAGACACATTCATTGAACTGTTTTAATTTTTTTTAGTCAATAAAATTATATATAATTATATATTTAAATATATACATATATATATATGTATATATTTATAAATATATATATACATACACATATATGTATATATATATACATACATACCCTCACACATATATATATATCAAATCGAACGTAGCGTGCGTGGTCTGAACGTGCACGTCATAGAACAGCGGGCTCGGCGTAATCCTATTGGCTTACTTCTACATGACCACGCCCTAAAGTCCACGTGCTGTCTCTTAAAGAGACAAGCCAGACCAATTCTTAAAGGGACAGAACATCTCGCCCTCATATTGTACCGTTCCCAACCAGCATGACTTAAAAATGAATTAATTAAAAAAAAGTTTTAGTTATGAGATTTAAAACATGTGAAGCTGTAGAGAAGGGTGAGAAAACATATTAGTTGCAGAATTTATTTACTTTAATTGTGAAAAAATGTTCCTCCACACAATCATACACACTAATAAAAATATACAATTGTGCAAATAGCATCATGTACAATCAACATATAACAAGCAATTTACAGAATAACACTGGAAATGGATGTACAGTGAAATATGTCAGCAGAAAATCTATTTGGTAAATACTCCATATGGATTGCATTCCTATATTCTTGCTAGGTTTCCCTTCTAAGTATTCACTAAAGATATAATGACATGGGATATGTCCATTATACAACAAAAACACAGGATTCATAGGAAACCTGGGGGCTGTTTCATAAAACAAGTTTAACAGACAAGCCAGGCTTATTTCAATTAGTCTGACTTATTTTGAACCAAAGCAACTGACAATAAGTCAGACTAACTGAAATAAACCTGGCTTATTTGGTATTTTATGAAACAGGCCCCTGATCTACATGTAGACACGCAACACCTGATGAGGATACATCCCACGCTTTTGCATTCTCCCTTAATTACCCTCAAAATGTGAAACAAAAACAACTTAGTGATTTTTACGTCTTACAAAAGACCTTTATATGCAAATTGCATAAATATATTATTATTAACAAGAGATAATTAATTGACAAAGACACATTATTAATAAAAAACTGCATGATAAACCAAGTCAAATGTACTTAATACATAACATGGTATTAATAGATAATTAGCTTAATGAGCAAGCCAACAATTCTAGGTCAATTTGCAACAAAACATCATGAAATGTAGTTTTTCTAACAAAAAACAGGTTCAAATCTCTGTGTGAATCCCTATGTCAGTGGCAACAATGACTCATGACTGGCATCATGTGTACGCTCAGATAACGACTTAGTGGTTTTCTAATACAACAACCGTCATAGACGCTGAGCAAGATTAAGGTGGAAACTATGATATACAGAGTCCTCGTCTTCCCTCTCTCTGTGTCACAAAGAGCGATCAGAAACAACATGCACGCCAAACTGCATGCACAGGGATGCACAGTTGCACTCGGCCGTAGTAGCATGGCCTGGAATGGAGAGAAGCGAGGATTAACGCTCTAGCTTCGAACTAAGAATAAGTAACCCGGGTCAGCTGAGACGCTACTCTTCCACCCTCAGACCCGGCCTTTGCACTCGTTCGTAAAAGAGCAGATATGCGCTGGAGGAGAGCGCCTCCTGAAGGCTGGCTTTCCTCACCGAATCATCAGACACCCAGAGCCACTGGGAGCTAAAAGGAGACGTTCCACGGGGAGTGGCAGGGCAGCGGCGGTAAGTGACAAAATGTCCAGAGTGCATGTCGCCATGATGAACCAGGACGGCCGTCAAGCGGAAGAGATACTCTGAGCTGCTAGAGTGAGGAGAAAAAAAAAAGGTAAGTTACCATATGAAGTAAATTGAAATAGACTACATTCCCTGTAAAGCATGCATGGATGTCTCTACCTGTAGTCATAAGTGAGGTTGAGCTGTGAGCTCAGTCCTGGTGAGTGTAGAAAGATGGAGGGAAAGGTTCCATTGGACAGTGGCTTATTGTTGTTACAGTGTTCTGAACCTGAAAAAGAAATTGAAATTTATCTTAAAACACTGAAAAAAAAAAAACATTACATTTTTATATATTCTAGAAATAATAATAATAATAATTATTATTATTATATTAAATAGTAAAAGGATTTCAAGAATATTACATTAGTTTTACAGATGGAGTAAGTTCATATTCACAGATGTAAACGACAGCATTCTTAGGACACTAAAATAGACTTCATTTTTTATTATTAAAAATTCCAAAAGTATTGCAAGGATATTTGATTGATTTTACTTTAAATGGAGCAAATCCATATTCACATATCAAAATGACAGCATCACATAACCACTGGGGGAAAAAAAAAAAAAGAGCTCACATCACTTACCAACACCATTAGCAATGGTTTTGTCTTTTGGGTCTCCGGCAGCTTTGGGCTTATTTGTTCTGCTGGTGCTCTGAAGGCTCTGACCAGCAGTACAATGTTTGTATCGATCCAGAGACAAATATTCTGTAAACTGAACATGCTCTTGTCTCTTAATGGGAGTGCCCTCTTTAGACCACGTCAATCTCTGCAGATGGATGCAGAGGCACTGAGGCAACTAAAGGTGAATATACACACACACACACACACACACACACACACACACACACAAACCAACAGGAGGTTATTGAAGAGTGTCAACTGTCAGTGTTTAGAAACGTTTGCTGGTCTGAATGAAAGAATAACAATCATGTCTACCTTTCCAAGTTTCAGCTGCTTGACAAATGTTGTCCTCTGACTCTCAAGGACTTCTCCATTTACAAGCTCTCCAGCCTGTTGCTACAAAGAGACAGAGAGAATCAGCTCAGTAAAACTCAGTAAAATTTCAGCAAATAAATAAGGTACAATGGTACTATAGTAACCTGTCCTGCTAAATATACACATTATACCTTGGTACAGTTTTCACACTCCACTTCTTTGATGGTTTCCGAGGAGATGAAATGCTGGAGACACTGGTCCAAAGTAACTGGTCTGCCCTGATACACGTGAATACAAGTGACGCAAACTATATACATATCTTTGTCTGTAAGATACTAGCTGGGTAATATGACTTCAACTGGGATATTTTAATGTGTAGATTAGCCTTCTACATTAAGTACATGTGATATTACAGAACAAGTTAACTTACCCACTGTACTGACGGGATAGAAAGAGACAAGCTGTCGAAAGAATCATAGTGCACAGGACTCTGAAATCAAAAACAGTCAGGCTTGACAATTCCATTCTTTCAATAAAATGCTGTAGATTGAAATCATAAATATTTGTTTAAAAAAGTCTGAAAAAGATCACCTGCTGCTCACAGCGTTTACAAGCCATATAACTTGTTAACCGTCCATGAAAAGGGTGCCGAGTCCTCCATAAACTTGGAATAGGATGTAATGGACCTGAATAAGAAAAAGACTAAATTACTAAATGCTAAAAAAAAAACTGTTTAATGTTTAAAGAATGAAGTCTTCGTTTACCTCCACTTCTGCAGCTTATGTTTTTTTCTTTTGACTCCACAGATTTCTGAAAGCATTAACAGTAGAGAATGTCTGTCTAATTATGAACTCTTTAGTTTACAAACGATCTTTTGGGTTCTAATACTGCATTAACAGTGACCGTTCATGTTTACCTCCAGTGTTTGCATGTCGAACAGGTGAGCGACTCTGGGTTGGTGTTCCCGTTCCTCCTCTAATGATGATGTGAGAACATGAAACAGCTCATGAGCATCCTGAAGAGAAAATGCAAAAGTAACAGTCATTTTTATGTTAATGATTTAAAAAAAAAAATCCAACATTTGAGCTAAGGAACGTGAGAGTACTTCGTCCATTTTAAGTGAACTTTTCCTTTTTTAAAGGGGTCATATGATGCGATTTCAAGTTTTCCTTTCTCTTTGGAGTGTTACAAGCTGTTTGTGAATAGATACGATCTCTAAAGTTGCAAAGACTAAAGTCTCAAACCCAAAGAGATATTCTTTATAAAAGTTAAGACTCGTCCACGCCCCCCTAAAACGGCTCGTTCTAACGTGTCTACGTCACGATGTGGGAAGATTTGCATAACGCCGCCCAAATGTTCACGCAAAGAAAGAAGGCGTAACTTTATTGTTGCTGCCACCGCCATGTTGCGAAGACGCTGTGTTACGTTGCGAAAGCGAAACTACTTTTTTTGGTCTTCCAAAAGAGGACAGGACTAGAAATCAGTGGTTAAGTTGTATTTACAACACTGTTCCAGAACAGTTCAACCCAAATATTTAGATGTGTGCAGCACATTTTATGGAGGACTGTTTCCTGATCCTGGAAGAGTAGACTACAATGCCGGCTGTTCTGACTCACAGACTGTAAGTACGTTTTCATTTAAAGAATTTGCCACTGATGATTCAAACACGAGTTTTGAGCAGTGTAGAGTAGCGCTTGTTGTTTGTCATTTCTCCGATCACAAATGCAGACATGGTTTTATGTTTACGCGGCGCGATGCAACGCAACGCATAAAAAGACAGTATAAGTCATTATAATCCATAATTATGTCCCCACTGGATGCAACAAATGCCTCGTTTATAATGGTTTTATTGTTTTTGTCTCGTCGCTCCGGCCGTAACATTTCCGTCTCACGCTTGAGGTATTCGGCCAATCACAACGCACTGGATAGCTGGCCAATCAGAGCA